AAAAAATAATATATTTTTTTTTCATACTGTCACCAGTCAGTGTTGCTGATCACCGCCATGCCAGTTATATGATGACGCTGTACTGCACTGGTGACAGTATGTAAAAAAAAAAATAGTGAAAATAATTTTTTTTATTTTTTCATTTTCCGAAAAAATTATGACAAAAAAATACAACTTCAAAAAAAACTCGCCATTCCTCTTATGAAGTACATCGGACTGTCTGCTCTGCAAAAAGGGGTCATTTGGGGATATCTGTACTGTTCTGACATTTGGGGGATATCTGTACTGTCTGACATTTGGGGGATATCTGTACTGTCCTGACATTTGGGGGGATATCTGTACTGTCCTGACATTTGGGGGATATCTGTACTATTCTGACATTTGGGGGATATCTGTACTGTCCTGACATTTGGGGGATATCTGTACTGTCCTGACATTTGGGGGATATCTGTACTGTCCTGACATTTGGGGGATATCTGTACTGTTTTGACATTCTTGGACCTCAAGAAATTAGATTGGCTGTCATTACTTCAGGATTGATCAATATTCAGATCTATACCATAGTTTGTGAACTCTATAACTTTCCTACAAACTAAAAAATACATCCTAATTTGGGTTATTTTCACCAAAGACATGTAGCAGAATACATCTCGGCCTAAATTTATGAAAAGAACAATTATTTATTTGTAAACTTTTATAACAGAAACAAAAAAAAAAAAAACGTGTGTTTTTTTCAAAACATTTTGGTCTTTTTTTGTTAATTTAGCAAAAAATAAAAACCCCAGCAGTGATTAAATACCACCAAAAGAAAGCTCTAGTTGTGTGAAGAAAATTATAAAATTTTAGTTTGGGTACAATGTTGTATGACCGCGCAATTGTCATTCAAAGTGTGAGAGCGCTGAAACCTGAAAAATGGCCTGGGCAGGAAGGGGTAAAATTGCACGTTATTGAAACGGTTAAACATTTTGCTCCTACATTGGCTCCCTCTTTGATGTCATTATTAGAGATGAGCGAAGAAATGAAAAATTTGATTCGACTGATTCGGCGAATTCGTGGACAATATTCGATTCGAGTCGAATAAATTCGCTGTGAATTTAACTTAAAAAAGGGGTGTTCTAGGCTTCAGAGAGACTTAATATTAGTGCAGAACACTGTAGCTTTAATTTAAATGCCCTTGGAGTCTGCTGGGAAGAGAAATAATACTGTCAGTCAGTATGACATGCAGATGAGTGCCGTCGATCTTAGAATCACCGCACACTTCACTCATTTGGGCAGTCACGGGGCCAAAACCAGTGTTTGGAGCCACAGTGTGGCGGTGGAGGCAGCAGCAATGGGAGGCCATACAGCAACCTATGACAAAATGGAAACAGCAGGAGTGTGAGGAGAGACCTGAAAGTGGCACATGGCAGAGTGGGAGCAATGGGAGGCGGTACAGGGACCCAGGTCACACTGTGGGCCCAGCAGCAGCGTGACCAGGCGGTACGGGGGCCCATGGCCGATTTGACCTCGTTCATCCCATAGTCCTGCCAACTCACGAATAGCGTGGCCTCCTCAAAGGGCCTGAGCAAGCGCAGGTGTCACGCATGAGCTGCCAATGGCTGACATCTAAGTTACACAGGGAGTACCTTTATCCGCTTTTAACATCAGGAAATCTGTGATGGCCTTTCGCTGTTCGTAAAGGCGGTCTAACATATGTAGGGTTGAATTCCACCTTGTTGCAACGTCACAGCATGAGGAGTCGGTACGGGGGCCCATGGCAGATTACGTGCCTGGCAGCAGCAATGGGAGGCCCGTAATTTGCCAGCACCCTATGTCAAAAAATTGAACACACCAGCAGTGTGAGGAGACCTCAAAGTGGCACATGGCAGAGTGGGAGCAATGGGAGGAGGCGGTACGGGGACCCAGGTCACACTGTGGCTCAGCAGCAGCGTGACCAGGCGGTACGGGGGCCCATGGCCGATATGGGGCCTGGCGGCACCTATGGAAGGCCTGTAATCTGCCAGCAACCTATGTCAAAATGGAAAACCAGGAGTGTGAGGAGACCTCAAAGTGGCACATGGCAGAGAGAAAGCAATGGGAGGCCGTACAGGGACCCAGGTCACACTGTGGGCCCAGCAGCAACGTGACCAGGCGGTACGGGGGCCCATGGCCGATTTGGGCCTGGCGGCACCTATGGAAGGCCGCTAATCTGCCAGCAACCTATGACAAAATGGAAAACCGCAGGAGTGTGAGGAGACCTCAAAGTGGCACATGGCAGAGTGGGAGCAATGGGAGGCCGTACAGGGACCCAGGTCACACTGTGGGCTCAGCAGCAGCATGACCAGGCGGTACGGGGGCCATGGCAGAGTGGAAGCAATGGGAGGCCGTACAGGGACCCAGGTCACACTGTGGGACCCAGCAGCAGCGTGACCAGGCGGTACGGGGGCCCATGGCCGATTTGGGGCCTGGCGGCACCTATGGAAGGCCTGTAATCTGCCAGCAACCTATGTCAAAATGGAAAAGCACAGGAGTGTGAGGAGACCTCAAAGTGGCACATGGCAGAGTGGAAGCAATGGGAGGCCGTACAGGGACCCAGGTCACACTGTGGGACCCAGCAGCAGCGTGACCAGGCGGTACGGGGGCCCATGGCCGATTTGGGGCCTGGCGGCACCTATGGGAGGCCCGTAATCTGCCAGCACCCTATGACAAAATGGAACCCTGGGCTGGGGCAGGCAGAACCGCCGTATCTTTATCACGTTTTTCCCAGTGGGAGGGCCACCGAATGGCGACGCTGCATATGCTGACGCAACGCTGTAGTCCCAACATGGGCCCCCTGGCCACGCTTGACTTTCTGGCCACATAGTGGGACATTAGGCTACGTTTACTTCCTCGGGGGCTTGACGAAAACTTGCCACACCGCCGAGTAGGAAACTTTGCACCCGCTACTCCTCACTGGCTGACTGCTACTTCCTCCGTGCACACCGGCACCACTACTGGCTGTGGTGGTAGGCTGCCAGGAGCTGCTGCTCTACTCCGTGGCCGTTTGCCTCCACTGGACACTGCTGCGACCCTGCTGCCTCCTGGCAGCAGCAATGGGAGGCCGTACAGGGACCCCATGTCACACTGTGGGCCTGGCAGCAGCGTGACCAGGCGGTACGGGGGCCCATGGCCGATATGGGGCCTGGCGGCAGGCCTATGGGAGGCCGTAATCTGCAGCAACCTATGACAAAATGGAAAACCGCAGGAGTGTGAGGAGACCTCAAAGTGGCACATGGCAGAGTGGAGACAGCAATGGGAGGCCGTACAGGGACCCAGGTCACACTGTGGGCCCAGCAGCAGCGTGACCAGGCGGTACGGGGGCCCATGGGCGATTTGGGGCCTGGTGGCACCTATGGAAGGCCTGTAATCTGCCAGCAACCCTATGACAAAAAAATGGAACAACCGCAGGAGTGTGAGGAGATTTCAAAGTGGCACATGGCAGAGTGGAGACAGCAATGGGAGGCCGTACAGGGACCCAGGTCACACTGTGGGACCCAGCAGCAGCGTGACCAGGCGGTACGGGGGCCCATGGCCGATTTGGGGCCTGGCAGCACCTATGGGAGGCCGTAATCTGCCAGCACCCTATGTCAAAAAATGGAACCACCAGCAGTGTGTGAGAGACCTGAAACCGCCGTGGCACATGGCAGAGTTTTCCCAGGCGATGGAGACAGCAGCAATGGGAGGCCGTACAGGGACCCAACATGAGGACCCTGGCTTGACTTTCTGGGCAGCAGCATAGGAGGACGGTTACTTCCTATGGGGCGGCATGACGAAAAATTAGGGGCCTGGCAGCACCGAGTAGGAAACTTTATCACTGGGACTGGCCCGTAATCTGCCCAGCTGCTGCTCTATGGTGCCTCCAAAAAATGAAGCACACAGCAGGCAGTGAGGAGACCTGAAAAATGGGTGGCACATGGCAGAGATGTGTGGCGAGGAGACAGCAGCAATGGGACAGCAGCAATGGGAGGCCGTACAGGGGACCCATGAGAGACTCTGGACTTGGCAGCCAGCATGAGGAGGCGGTATAGGGGGCCCATGGCAGATTAGGGGCCTGGCAGCAGCTATGGGAGGCCCGTAATCTGCCAGCACCCTATGTCAAAAAATTCAACACACCAGCAGTGTGAGGAGACCTGAAAGTGGCACATGGCAGAGTGTGGCGATGGGAGACAGCAGCAATGGGAGGCCGTACAGGGACCCATGAGAGACTCTGGACTTGGCAGCAGCATGAGGAGGCGGTATATAGGGGCCCATGGCAGATTAGGGGCCTGGCAGCAGCTATGGGAGGCCCGTAATCTGCCAGCACCCTATGTCAAAAAAATTAAACACAACAGCAGTGTGTGAGGAGACCTGAAAGTGGCACATGGCAGAGTGTGGCGATGGAGACAGCAGCAATGGGAGGCCGTACAGGGACCCATGAGAGACTCTGGACTTGGCAGCAGCATGAGGAGGCGGTATATAGGGGCCCATGGCAGATTAGGGGCCTGGCAGCAGCTATGGGAGGCCCGTAATCTGCCAGCACCCTATGTCAAAAAATTCAACACACCAGCAGTGTGAAGAGACCTGAAATGTGGCACATGGCAGAATGTGGCGATGGAGACAGCAGCAGCAATGGGAGGCCGTACAGGGACCCATGAGAGACTCTGGACTTGGCAGCAGCATGAGGAGGCGGTATATAGGGGCCCATGGCAGATTAGGGGCCTGGCAGCAGCTATGGGAGGCCCGTAATCTGCCAGCACCCTATGTCAAAAAATTCAAAACACACCAGCAGTGTGAAGAGACTGAATGTGGCACATGGCAGAGTGTGGCGATGGAACAGCAGCAATGGGAGGCCGTACAGGGACCCATGAGAGACTCTGGACTTGGCAGCAGCATGAGGAGGCGGTATATAGGGGCCCATGGCAGATTAGGGGCCTGGCAGCAGCTATGGGAGGCCCGTAATCTGCCAGCACCCTATGTCAAAAAATTCAACACACCAGCAGTGTGAAGAGACCTGAAAGTGGCACATGGCAGAGTGTGGCGATGGAGACAGCAGCAATGGGAGGCCGTACAGGGACCCATGAGAGACTCTGGACTTGGCAGCAGCATGAGGAGGCGGTATATAGGGGCCCATGGCAGATTAGGGGCCTGGCAGCAGCTATGGGAGGCCCGTAATCTGCCAGCACCCTATGTCAAAAAATTCAACACACCAGCAGTGTGTGAAGAGACCTGAATGTGGCACATGGCAGAGTGTGGCGATGGAGACAGCAGCAATGGGAGGCCCGTAATCTGCCAGCACCCTATGACAAAAAATGGAACACACCAGCAGTGTGTGAGGAGACCTGAAAGTGGCACATGGCAGGGGCATGATTCATGGCGGATTTAGTCAGTTGTGTCAGGAACTGGTGGTTTGAAATCCAGACTAATCCACGCCTGATTCATTTTCACAAACGTGAGTCTCTCCACACTTTGGGTGGACAGTCGTGTCCTCCGCGGAGTTACAATACCTCCTGCCGCACTAAACACGCGCTCCGATGCCACGCTACTGGCCGGGCATGACAGCCTTTCAAGGGCAAATTCAGCTAGTTGGGGCCAAAGGTCAAGTTTCGTTGCCCAGTAGTCAAGGGGATTGTCTACCTCGGTTGGCAGGGTGCTGTCCAAGTAGGCCCAAGCCTGTTGTTTGAGCTCCTGCTCCAGGTCCACCTGATGCTGCTGCTGCTGCTGCTGCTGCGGCTGGTTAGTAGTTTCCTCACTGCGCTGGTGAAGAAAGCTACTCATCATCGACTGCAGACTGAGGCAGCCGCTGCTGGTGGAGCTGCCACTGCTCCTACCACCCCACCCCTCCCCTGCTGCCATGGCAGCGGAACGCGAGCGCACAGGGCCCACAGTGTCTGAGGATGGACGTTGGCGCACAAAGGCAGAGACCAACTGACTACATAGGTGGTTTTTATAGTACGTAATTTTGGCCTCCCTCTCAGCAGGTGTGAAAAAGGCCACCATTTTGGAACGATAGCGAGGGTCCAACAAGGTGGACAGCCAAAAGTCATCCCTCTGTCTGATGGTTATTATTCGGCTGTCGCTACGCAAGCAACCGAGCATGCTATGGGCCATTTGCCAAGGAATGCGAGGGACTCCCTGCCTCCATCTCCACAGCATACTGCCACGGTGCGTCTGGGTCCTCTGTCTCCTCCTCCTCCTCCTCTACCAGATGCTGCTCCTGCTCCTCCACTCCTGTCCGCTGAGTGGAAAAACCACCCATTTCACTCAATAATTCCTGAGCACAAATGTCCTCCTCTACCTCCTCCTCTTCTTCTGTCCTGGCCCCACAGGGGTCATGTGGCGTTGAGATCTGTGCGCCACGTCTACCGCACCCTGACCAGCCATTGTTAACAGCATTTGTTCCAGGACGTGCAACAGAGGAATGACGTCGTTCATCCCATAGTCCTGCCGACTCTCACGAATAGCGTGGCCTCCTCAAAGGGCCTGAGCAAGCGGCAGGTGTCACGCATGAGCTGCCAATGGCTGACATCGAAGTTACACAGGGGGAGTACCTTTATCCGCTTGTAACATCAGGAAATCGGTGATGGCCTTTCGCTGCTCGTAAAGGCGGTCTAACATGTGTAGGGTTGAATTCCACCTTGTTGCAACGTCGCAGATCAGGCGATGCTGTGGAATTCCGTTCTGCCGCTGCAGCTCAATGAGGGTGTTCTTTGCGGTGTAGGAATGGCTGAAATGCATGCACAGTTTACGTGACATTTTAAGGATGTCTTGCAGTGGGAGGTGGATTTTAGGAACCGCTTGACAACCAGATTGAACACGTGAGCCATGCATGGCGCATGGCACAACCTTCCTTGACGCAGAGCAGACACCATGTTCTTTCCGTTGTCGGTCAACATGGTTCCGATTTTCAGTTTGCGCGGAGACAGCCATCTGTCGATTTCTCTGTTCATTACACTCAGAAGTTCCTCCCCTGTGTGACTACGTTCGCCAAGGCATACCAGGTGCAGCACAGCGTGACACCGTTGCGCCCTGCACATGTGATATGCCGGTCGGGTAATGGGACTTGGCACGGGGGTGGCGGCTGAGGACACGGCGGAAAAAGAGGTGGTAGAGGCGGACATGTTTGCTGGACCAAGGACGTGCAAACGTGGAGGCAAAAGCGTCGTGACCTGTCCAAGTTGCTGGTGCGGCTGTGCCGGCACCACGTTCACCCAGTGGGCCGTAAATGACATATACTGTCCCTGACCGTAGTTACAGCTCCACACGTCGGCGCTGCCGTGCACTTTGGCAGAGACCGACATGCTCAAAGACTGGCCCACCATCTCTTCTACATGTGAATGCAGGGCTGGCACTGCCTTTATGGCGAAGAAATGACGGCTTGGCACTCTCCACCGCGGCGCGGCACAAGCCATCATTTCTCGGAAAGGTGCTGAGTCCACCAGTTGGAAAGGGAGGGACTGCAGCACCAGCAACTTGGACAGGAGGACGTTCAGCTTTTGCACCGTCGGGTGCGTGCTCGCAAACTGTTGTCTCTTGGAAACGGATTCCAAGAAAGACTGTTGACGGAATCCGAGAAGAGGAGGAGTAGCAGGAGAAGGAGCATCTGAACGAGCGGAAGATGCCAACGAGCGACAACTCCCCTCAGCAGAGGTGTTGGAGCCTTGACTGGCTGATAGAGGGTGATTGACGACGTCGGGTGACGGAGCAAGTAACGGAGCGGGTGATGGAGCGGGGGCTGGGGCAGGCAGAACCGCCGTATCTTTATCACGGTTTTCCCAGGCCACCGAATGGTGACGCTGCTGCATATGCTGACGCAACGCTGTAGTCCCAACATGGGCCCCCTGGCCACGCTTGCATTTCTGGCCACATAGTCGACATACGGCTACGTTTACTTCCTCGGGCGGCTTGACGAAAAATTGCCACACCACCGAGTAGGAAACTTTGCCCCCGCTACTCCTCACTGGCTGACTGCTACTTCCTCCGTGCGCACCGGCACCACTACTGGCCGTGGTGGTAGGCTGCAGTGGAGCTGGTGCTCTACTCCGTGGACGTTTGGCTCCACTGACACTGATGCGACCCTGCTGCCTCCTGGGCAACCCACCGACTGTTTCGCTCGCTGCCAAGCTGGCACCCTCTTCTCCTGATGATGCGGAAGAAATTGCCTGATGACGACGAGGCAGCCAAGTGCGATCAACCTCCTCATCATCAAGTACGGTCTCCGCCTCACTACTAGCCCCCTCGGCTGCGTCTGGGTCAGGAGACAGACCTGTCTCTAGACCGGCTACCGAGCCACTCTCCTCGCCAGTACTTCTTCGCCTGGCTGCTGCTGAAAAGGCGGATGTCTCCCCCCGTTCCTGACCGCCCTCTGTTAGCTCTTCCTCACTGTACAGTGGGGCTGAGCCCACAGCATGCGATACTTCGCTTGGTGAGGGAACAGCAAAGGACAGGGGCAGGTAGAGGACATGTGATTTCAGTGGGCTTGCTCCCGGGCCATGCCAACTAACGGTTGTGTCTGACGTACCCACCGACCGTTGGCTGTAGGTGTCAGAGGTGACCTGGGAAGAGGAAGACGACTGAGCCAACCAATCGATGACGGCAGGGTTGTCGGTGGAGACACGACCGCTGGATGACACCGGGAGCACTGGCCTCTGGCTGCGAATAGTGCTGCCTCGACCCCTTCCTCTGCTGCCACGTCTGCTTGCTCCTAAAACATTGCCTCCTCTGCCACTCCTCTGCATGTTGTCTGACATACTCTTTAATTCAACGATTATGTGTCCCTGAGTAACAATTCTGTGTCTGTCCGAGTAACAATTCTGTGGCCCTAAGTAACAGTTCTGTGGCCCTCAGTAACAATTCTGTGTCCCTGAGTAACAATTCTGTGGCCCTAAGTAACGGTTCTGTGGCCCTCAGTAACAATTCTGTGTCCCTGATTAACGTTTATGTGGCCCTAAGTAACGGTTCTGTGGCCCTCAGTAACAATTCTGTGTCCCTGATTAACGTTTATGTGGCCCTAAGTAACGGTTCTGTGGCCCTCAGTAACAATTCTGTGTCCCTCAAGAAACAATTCTGTGTCTGTCCCTGAGTAACAATTCTGTGGCCCTAAGTAACGGTTCTGTGGCCCTCAGTAACAATTCTGTGTCCCTGATTAACGTTTCTGTGGCCCCAAGTAACGGTTCTGTGGCCCTCAGTAACAATTCTGTGTCCCTGATTAACGTTTCTGTGGCCCCAAGTAACGGTTCTGTGGCCCTCAGTAACAATTCTGTGTCCCTGATTAACGTTTATGTGGCCCTAAGTAATGGTTCTGTGGCCCCTCAGTAACAATTCTGTGTCCCTGAGTAACAATTTGTGTCTGTGCGAGTAACAATTCTGTGGCCCTAAGTAACAGTTCTGTGGCCCTCAGTAACAATTCTGTGTCCCTGAGTAACAATTCTGTGGCCCTAAGTAACGGTTCTGTGGCCCTCAGTAACAATTCTGTGTCCCTGATTAACGTTTCTGTGGCCCCAAGTAACGGTTCTGTGGCCCTCAGTAACAATTCTGTGTCCCTGATTAACGTTTATGTGGCCCTAAGTAACAATTCTGTGGCCCTAAGTAACAGTTCTCAGTGGCCCTCAGTAACAGTTCTGTGTCCCTGAGTAACAATTCTGTGTCTGTGTGCCGTAAGTAACAATTCTGTGGCCCTAAGTAACAGTTCTGTGGCCCTCAGTAACAATTCTGTGTCCCTGAGTAACAATTCTGTGGCCCTAAGTAACGGTTCTGTGGCCCTCAGTAACAATTCTGTGTCCCTGATTAACAATTCTTTCTCTGTGCCCCCCAAGTAAGTAACGGTTCTGTGGCCCTCAGTAACAATTCTGTGTCCCTGATTAACGTTTCTGTGGCCCCAAGTAACGGTTCTGTGGCCCTCAGTAACAATTCTGTGTCCCTGATTAACGTTTCTGTGGCCCTAAGTAACGGTTCTGTGGCCCTCAGTAACAATTCTGTGTCCCTGAGTAACAATTCTGTGTCTGTGCGAGTAACAATTCTGTGGCCCTAAGTAACAGTTCTGTGGCCCTCAGTAACAAGTTTCTGTGTCCCTGAGTAACAATTCTGTGTCTGTGCGAGTAACAATTCTGTGGCCCTAAGTAACAGTTCTGTGGCCCTCAGTAACAATTCTGTGTCCCTGAGTAACAATTCTGTGGCCCTAAGTAACGGTTCTGTGGCCCTCAGTAACAATTCTGTGTCCCTGTGTAACAATTCTGTGTCTGTGCGAGTAACAATTCTGTGGCCCTAAGTAACAGTTCTGTGGCCCTCAGTAACAATTCTGTGTCCCTGAGTAACAATTCTGTGTCTGTGCGAGTAACAATTCTGTGGCCCTAAGTAACAGTT